CGCACTTCACCTCTAAATGTATCGCATGAATTTCTGATGGCGATGATGACACAAATGTCAGTCTAAAACTAATGTCATGTAATGCCAATTAATGAGTGAGGTTTGCAAAAGATTAAAACGGCCCGAAAATAAAGTAGGGCAAGAATGGTGTAGATAACTAACTCTACTGAGGCATCCCGATATGGTAGGAGTCTTTATGCTCTCCTCTTATAAATCCATTTTTACTGTGAGTTCTTTATTGATATGAACGATCGTTCACTGTCACAGTGATCCCTTAATTCCGAATTAAACAATGGTTCCAACTTAAATCAGGCAGACCGTATTGAGGGTAGCAGCACAATGAGTATGATAACATTAAGCCTTTTGACGCACAACATCGACTCACCGAGGAATAAGCCGTGCTGCTGGCGCAATAAAGTTTCACAGCCACGTAACCAACGACCAGCAGGACAACCCACACGGAATGCTGCTAGGCCATCGTGCTCCGTGACTGGAAATGTGGCCGTTGTGGAACCGTCTACGGAACTCATTGCATCTGGAGCGGATTTCGATGGCCTATGACCCTTGGAGTGAGCCGTTGAAATCGTCAGAAATCCGTTGGTCCAGTCTTCTGTTGGACTAGAGCCGACAACTGCATAAGCCGGATTCAGCACAAGCAGAACGAGCAGATGAAGAGCCAAAACCACTGTGGATGAGTGCACAGCAGGTCGGAGGAATTGATGAATCCAGTCAAATCCGAGCATCATGACTAAGTCATTGCAAAGCCTTGGATTCAGAAAAAAAAACAGGGGGAAATCGTGGTTTTACCGTGAGGCAAAGTGAAACCAACCAGTTCCAATTTTCATAACCGTTATTCTTGCAGTGGTGTGCGATAGTTGGTGCTATAGTTGATGCGAATTGCGATAACGATAACCGAATACTCTGCACCTATAGTTCCTAGCAAAACTATTTGGATACAGACTAGGTTAGTTATTTAGTAATTGAATATATGAAGATAAGAACAAAAGACTCTCATGCAAAAACGAGACTGGATGGGAGGAGGCAAAAAACTGATTTGGTTTGGAAAATTAAAGGTCTATAAAATCAAATCAGCCTGCGGTTAACTCAGGAGAACTAAAGATAGTTGAAGGACCAAATGATCTTAGGAGTGTATCGAATAGTAATAACACAGCCGCATCACCCTGTTATTAACATTCTAACATTCACAATAAAGATAGTTGGTCTCATGAAAATGGTGACCATATCCAACCCATGGGAAAATATCACCAGATGTAATTATATTGTGCTCTTAGCCTCGCAAATGTCGTACCGGAGTTTAGTTTTCACAGACATTAAACTCAGGTTGGCTAATTTGCATGGTCAGTCGCTTGCTTTTGAATTGAAAAATTGGCGATATTTTCATTTACGTATCCGGAAGCAGCTGTTTCGATCACCCAGCGCTTGGATGAGATATGCGAACAGTGTTTCCGAACGTTATCGAAGGCGACCAATGTGCATAAACACCCGTGGGATGAGGGAACCTCCGTTTGTGTATTTTAGCCCTAACAATAGCCTAATAAGTTAACTACATAGAGGGTGAGGATGATGAACAGAAGTGGATGAAGAAGCGAACCCGGTATTCAAAACACCTCGCCAATCGATAATACTTTCAGCGGAACTGAACCTATTAGGAATAACCTCTCCACGAATTCTGAGAAATCCCAAAATAACGGAAAGGATGATCGCCATACTCGCATCTTAGGTAGTCATTTTTACCTTGCCCCTGCAGTAGTCTCGAGTTTGTTCACGAAAAGATCTGTAAATACAATTTGATTCCACAAGTGTTCCCGCAGCAAACACATGCCATGTTCTGAAAGTTTTTCGACGTTCGTTACTGGTCCATCAACAGAATTTTAAATTTAGATGAAATTTAACAGCTTGATAGTAAACCAACAAAGGTCCTTGGACATCGAGCATTGAGAAACATTCGAGCCTCAACAGGCGTGATGGCAAACCGGACGAGAGCGGAGGCATGTGCTCTATTTCTTCTTTGTCACTTGCTGTTATCCTTATGCAGCCAGACAATGAACAAGACGCTCTTTTGTATCATATGCTTGCATGGAAGAAATTTTCTTTGATCATTTATTTAATTAAATTCATCCCGACAAATTGAACGGAACAGTGCATTCGGCCCACGGGGGTTGAAACTCATTCGGAGCAAGTGCTTTTTCCAACAAGTACACTTGAGACACAGGTAAAGAAAACATGAACGCAACGGTCAACTTACTTTTTGTTGATCGTGGGGTTTTCCACGATTAGATCCAACAAAAGCTGCAAACACCGATTACGCAATACTATCAGTTGTTGTTGCCATTCTAGTAATTCTGTAGAGAAGATGGATAGGATGAGACATTATGGAAGCACTATATCATGAGGTACAATAATGGAACGGGCTCCCACGGGCATAATGCAATTTGTCATTCTTATACAAACAGATATCGCCCACAACTAGAAAACATCCAAACAAAGAAATTCGCGAAGCCAACATCTATCCAAATATCTAATTTCCTCCGGAATTTCTAAGTTGAATTTTGACGGTATACACCTTTTGCATAGTCCTATCTATTGCTTTCAAATGGAGAATGACCAAAAACAACGACCAACAGAAGCTGGAGCACCGAAGTGTATGATATACAGATATTTGGGGAGTAAAACTAAAGTTAAAACCACATATTATTTAGACATTTACCATCAGATCAATGTCATCTATCATTCAGCCGCAGTAAATGTGTCGCAAACCATTCAGAATTTCAATGTAATTGAAAGGCGTTCATTCGACTACCTCGAGGCCACTTCCGAAATAACAGCATAATCGATCTATGGTGAAGCATTACCATCCGCAAGGCGAGTTTTTCTTGACTGCAGATTCCTGAATTAACTAGTTTGTGTCATGGTAACAGTCCTCATTATTCTAGTATTGGTCGATTTCAATTGACTCAATGTTTAACTCAAGTTTTGAAACATGCACAACAAGAAACAACAAAAACACACTATAGTTACCAGGTAGAACGGTGGTGAACCCTTTTAAGTCACAAGAATGACACCAAGGTTGCTTATGAACCGAGTGACCGGGAAAAACCAGTTTCTGACCTGTTACAAAAATTATATTCCGGATCTCGGAATTCGAAGAAACAGATTAGCTGCTTTCTGCTCTGATGGTCAGACAGTCCGACAGTTTATTAGCATATGCTTTCCGGTTCAGTGTGGTATATCTTTTTCTGCCACCCCGAAACGTCGATAGGAACTGGACATTGCTTCCATGTACAATTACAAAACACAACTCACAAAACGCGAGCAGTCCCGTACTACATCTAGAAAAACACTGATGTGACATGATCTTTCGCTTCGTTCCGTAGATTTCCATATGTATTTATCTGTATCTAAATACTCATTATCGGAAAACTATGGAATCATATATCAGAAGGGAAAAAATCCATTGATTCAAGGCATGTTTAAGAAGCCTCTGACAGCCCCAGTATGGTCATGATGAATACATCAGAATGTAGCCGGACACAACTAGTCTGCACCTCAAAAAGTGCTTCCAAAGGACCAAGTGTTCCAAATAGCCTATGTTGAAGAAGCCCTAATCACAACCTTTCACTATTGAAGGTGCCCTCTCACCAAATTTAGGGAACGAAAAGCTTACATCATCTGCTTGATCATCCGACTGTTAGGTGATTCAACGAAAAGCTTAAATAGGGAGCAGATCTTGCGAGTATATTGGTGTAGCAATCATTGGTTCGGATCGATACAGCGATCGCAAGGCATATAATCAAGAAAGTTCGAAAGCATGCGCCAAGTGCTTTTGCAAACATAATCCGGGTTGGAAGTGTTTTCAATCATTCAATGGCCTTAGAATTGTATCACGTGTTTGTACCGCGAGAATCTCAAAAAGAATTCCTATTTCCATTTGTTTTCTTTTACGACTTAGAAAACAGAGTGGGTTCCAAGGACATTAAAAAGGAATATTTTCCACTTTGAATACAGTTGACTTGTAATATGCGTGCAGTTTCGTCCCCTAACAGATGTTGTGCGTGGAATATTCAGAATCGAACCAAGAGCTATGCTCGCAAAACGGTTGGTGCATGCCTCGAAGTGCCCGAATCAGAGACTGATAACACCAAAGTGATCACTCTGCCGATTCCGGTCCACCGAATATGATGGATCACATTCACTACATCCCCCTTAACAACCTTTTCTCTGAACCGGTCGATTGAATGAGGAACAAGTGACTGTTTCCTTCAACTAGAGTTTTACGGAAAAAGAACAGGATTATAAAAAGATGAAAAACAAAAACGTGTTTTGGATGAATCATGACAGTTTCATACTCCACACACACCCTCGTCGAAATATTAACTACAACCCAAATAAGCACAGTATCATTCTGCGTAAACTCCGAAATCGAAGTCATCAAGCTCCAGACCCTTGTGAAGGAAAGTTTCACATATTGCACCGTCAGCTCGATTTCGTTTACAAGTTTCCCAACCACTAAAAGTTCTCCACTTTGCTGGACCGAGCAGTTCTGAATCCGGGAATGGGATACCGTCTTCGGAGCGTTGCGCAAGTGACTTTAGGGATTTACGGAATCTGCGTATGAACAATTGCATTCCAATCAAAGAAGATCGGGTTTTCATGAGTTAAAACGCAGGGAAGAAATAAACAGGATCAAATTCAAATAAACAACGTATTTTGATGGGTTCAAGCTGGTAGGCTAGTTGGAAAGGCACAGCGACAACATGAAAAGCGACACATGCTTTGCAAAGATATGGTATAATAATATGAAAGTGAAAAGCGGTTAGGAACACTAGAACTGCATTCACCTGCCGAATTGAGTTCGTTGCACAAAGACAAACTTTCGAGAGAAAACGCAGATTCATCCACATCGGACGCCGGGAGGGTCCACGCCATAAGTTGCCCGATTCTAAGTGAATAGATGCAAGACAATGTGGAACACAAAAACGAACAACAAGACAAATAAGATTGAACAGTAATTTTGAACGTGCAGTAAAGATAATGAAAACAAAACAAATTAATCGGTTGAATCTCACCAGCAGTGCAAATCCATCGACCTAACGGGGATCGAACCCGGAATCACAGGTAGAAGACAAGCGTACTATCCACGTGACCACTGGACAGATGATTAGACTGATTCTGATTTTGAATATACACGATAAAGTATACTAGCAATACTACCAAAACTGTCCAATAGTTCCCACATTTAAGACTCATGCCACAATAACATGACCATCATCCAATCAAATCAAATCCACCATTTCTCTCATATAATAAGTAGTCAGGTTGTGAAAGTTTTCAACCGAGTCATAACTCTGGAGGCTAGTGCTGAGATAAGCTAAGCCTGTTGCCCGCGACAAGCTCACAAAGATGGGTTGTGCTATCTCGAGTATATTCAAATGAAAAACGGTCTGACCAGCTGCCCCGTGAGCGAATGGGTAATATGCTCGCGTTGTACTTGGGAGGTCCCAGGTTCGATCTCCAGTTCGGTTGACGGATTCGCACTGCTGATGAGAAACGACCTGGTCGAAACAGTTGTCCAGTTAGTCCTAGGTATACACAACGAATTCTTCGTCCAATCAAATTGAATCCTCAATTCCCCGGGAGAGCAGAGCTGTATGCTACCGAGCGTGTCCCCAGGTCGGGGATAGGGGAATAAGGTGGGCATCGGCCCTCCGAAAAAGCGGTTGTGGCCGATCAGCGGCAGGGCTCAAGGATGTGGTGGGTTTACCCCTGGCAAGGGTTCTCCGTACAAAACGCCACATATATCTGTGGACAGCGCTGTGACGTGGCGAATGTAGCCCGCCACTGAATATGGCCATTGCTCCTTGTCGAGATCCATTGCTCGATAAGGTTTTCCAGAAGAGGCGAATGAACCAACTACTGGCCACCGGCTCATCTGGAGTATCGCTGCTCCCTTGCAGTCCGCGCTTGGTTGCGCAAGGACTAGAGTGTACCCTCGAACAAGGCCTACTCTGGACCGGGCGACCAAGTAGTACAACAGCCCACAACACCAACAACGATGATCTCTTCGACTTCTACGCGCATCCAGTCTACTATTTCTGCAACTAGAGGCAAACACTCTATAACGTACACACACTCATGTTCTCCCAGCCCTCCCCATCCCACACCCCCTTTTCTCGGGATCTTCAGACAATCGTGCAAAAACTAGTGCCTCAGATGGAAACTCTGCCGCTGTTTCCTAATGTCCTTCCTCGACTAACGTCCGAATCTCACCGATTCCTCCATCAGCTGAAGCCCATCTTCGCCCTCAATGAACTTTCAAACGAGCCACATTTCATGTGCGCACTCTGATGCGAATAGGACAACAGGCCGGATTAGCTCGTACGTTCGAGACCCTAGTCATCGATGTGTGTTGTATCCATGAGACTCGCATTCAAGACTCCAGCTCCATTATCCGATTGAATTCGACATCAAACACATCAGTGAAGTTTCACTTACGCCTCTCTGTGGACGCTGAGGCTGCGACTTCCGGNGACTTCCGGTTTTGGCGTTGGTGTGGTTCTCAGTGAGATAGCTGAAGCCGCGCTTCTGGACTGGATCCCAGTCGACAGTAGGTTGTGCGCAGTGAGACTTGGAGGTTCGCGCAAAGTAAACAGCCGTCGCCCCGATAGACGAAACCTGTTTGTCGTATCAGCGAACGCCCCAACGGACTGTAGCCCAGATGCAGTCAAAGATGAATTTTATCATAGCCTACACGACCTCTTACGTAAAGCGAGTTGGGTCGAAATTGTGATTTTAGAAGGAGACATGAATGCTAGAGTAGGCCGACTTACTTCGAGTGAGGCGCATCTGGGTGGTCCCGTCGGACTAGATAACTGTCGATCGGAAAATGGGGAACGGTTGTTGGCTCTCTGTGCCGACCACCGCCCATTCCTCGCCAGTACGAACTTCAGACGCTCAAACTGCAGGTACGCCAGTTGGCGTCTGCCCTACTCAAGTCAGATACGGACGCAGATCGACCACATCGATATAAGCTACAAATGGCACGGTTGTATACAAGACTGCCGATCGTACTGGAGCCCTCCACTCGAATCCGACCACGCGTTAGTTAGCGCCAAGCTGTCCATGTGCTTCGGTGGGCGTTCCAAACGCTTGACAAACCGACGGTGAGACTATGATCAGTTGTCTGAACTAGCACGCCTAAGTGTCATTCAGAACGCGCAAGCTGAAAACCTAGAATCAACCCATCTCGATGACGGTAACCAGCACTGGTCGCTTATCAAGAATGTTCTGCATGCTGTTGGGGTAGTTAGTTGTGGTTGTGACACGTGGTGCCGTGACACTCTGGATTTCTGGGGAATTTCTACGGTTTCTCGACGCACGCCGATCAACCACGACAGCCAGAGAGCATAATGAAATACGACAGGCAACGAGTCGTAACCTCAATGTAAGCCTACGGAGTGACCGCGAGATCTGGTGGACTAAACGCGTATCAGAGATGGAACGTGCTGCCACCATGGGAAACTCCCGTAAACTGTTCCATCTCATCCGGGTCACCGGTAGAAAAACCTTAGGTGTGAGCGAAACGATTTGCGAAGCTGAAGGTTCGCCAATTCACAATCAACAGCTACGTCTTGCACGCTGGGCGGAGCAATTCAAGGCACAGTTTAGCTGGCCACCGACGTCACCTTCTCACACAGCTATTCTGACACATGTTCCATGGTCTTTCACAACAAACCCACCTTCTGAGGTGGAAATCCTTAAGGAGATCCAAGTCCTGGGATGTCACAGCGCCGAGCTCCAGGGGCCTTCCCCCACCTCTATTTAAAGATGGTGGAATTAAGCTCGATAGAGAACCACAACTCATACTTTGTTTGGTCTACAGAGTTAGAAAAATTTGCACGAAGGACATGCTGGTTGAAAAACTCCAAAATGTGGGGAATATCTTCATCCAGAATGGATATTCGGAGCGCTTAGTGGAATCTGTGATGCAACGGCAAGAGGCATTTCCCAAGAGGGTAATTGTTCAGAAGAAGTCTGTGTATATTTCTTTACCATTTAAAGATGACACTTTGGTAGAGATTGTGCATAGAAGGTTATCAAATTCCATCAACAAAACGTTTTACGCGGCTAAGCTTCAAACTCGATTCGCGTCTAGCCCACCGGTGTATTTACAGTTGAAGGATAGAGTGCCCGATTCTGCTGCCTCTTTTTGTATTTACTCTTTGACTTGTTCCTGTGGAGCAAAAGTATGTTGGCCGCACGACCAGGCGTCTGTCCGAGCGCATCACCCTGCGTGGTTGCGAAGTGGAGCAATTAAGTCAATCACAAGTGCCGTTGTGTCGCACCTTGTCGACACTAATCACATTGTAAACGTGACCGAAGCGTTCCGACCTCTGTATAGAGTTAAGAGGGACGATCTAGACACGTGCGGTTTTGCATTCTGTGTGCTCAAAAACAATTTGTGCAAGCACTCAAGCTCCGATAGCCGGATTGCTGATAAGTGACTTGTCATGCAACATCGGAGCAGGTGATAATTGGGGACCAATGATGAAACAAACTCTTCAATACGTTAATTACTTTCCCTCTTTTTTCCATGTAAATCCCTCTCTGATACTAGTCATATTGATGTGTTGTAATGCTGTGATTATGACACAATGAACCCGAGCTTGTTCGCCAATTTGTGTTCTCATTATGAGCTCCGTGGGACTGTTCAAACAAGTTCTGTTTCCGAAAGTTTGAAACACTGAGCAGGTCCCCTCCTCGTAGGGAAAATCGATTGTCGTCCCCAGCTTCAAAAACGGCCCGCGTAGTGACTGCGCCAATCATCGGGGTATAAGCATGATCCCGATAGCGTCAAAGCTGTTGGCATCCGTCATTCGCCGCCGATTGTACACTATGCGTGAGGAGCAGGCTGGGTTTCGCGCTGGTCGNCCCTCCGATAGCTGCTAGAGCACCGTCATGACTATCAAAGACCAACGATCATTGTATTCTTAGACATCCGCGCGGCCTTCGACTCTGTCGATAGGACCGCACTATGGAATTGTTTGTTGAGGGATAGAGTACCTGAGAAGCATGTGTCGATCCTCAAAGAGTTGTATCGTCATGCCTCAGATCGGGTTAGGGCCAATGGCCAGCTTTCGCCATCCTTCGCCGTCCCAAGTGGAGTTCGACAAGGCTAACCTGTATCCCCATTCCTTTTCAACTTTGTTACAGAGGATGTTCTACAGAATGCTTGGTTGGTCTAGAAAACGGTGGAGTCGAACACCGCCCAGGGAACAGAGTCCTTGACTTAGAATATGCCGATGAGATCGCCTTGCTGGGTGACAACACACAGGCATTAGGAGATGCTTTGAACCGCTTGGCGATCGAGGTATTCAGAAATGATATATTCTTTACACCTCCCAAGTGCAGAGTGCTTGTTCGAAACTGGCAGGAGCCAGTGCCTGCATTAACCCTCTATGATGATCAGCTGGAAATAATTGAGAACTTCAAGTACCTCGGGAGCTTGATTTCAGATGGTGTTGGTGCTGAGGACGAGATCACATCACGGATAGCGAAAGCTNACAAGAAAGGTGATAGATCCTCTTGTGAAAACCACAGAGGAATTAGTTTATTCAATATTGCCTCTAAACCGCTCGCTCGCATTATAATCCGCCAATTGTCTACGGCACGTGAGAACCAGAATGGTGAGCAAT